ATCTCATTGGTTAAAATATAATCTATACTGAACAGTTTATAATATCAGACCTTGTATCCCCTTAGCTCTAGACTGATCATCTACTAGTACTGTCAACTAAGATGCCTGATATTCATCTCAAATATTACAAGTGAAAAAAATAAAATATACATGTCATTCTTAATCCCCTCATCCTGTACAAAATATAAACCATTCATTATCAAATTCAATTTCAAAAATGTATGTTGACATTGTTTTTTTAAAAAACCTTTGTCCTTATTTCCTCTTCCCTAGTTAAAGCCATTAGCTCTTATCTAATTTTTTAAGCACTCCTTGTTGGTCTTCCCACTTCTGTTCTTGTCCCTTTTCTATTGATTAGAATGACTTCTTAAAATATACATGAAAAATGTTAATCATTTGCACAAAATATTTCAATACCTTCATAATCACTTATGGCAGGTTTTACTATCCGTAATATGACCTCTAGAGACTCTCCCCCATCTAGTTCTACAGTTATTTTTCCAGCTTGCTCTTATGGCCTACTGCTTTTTATTCACTGGGGTCCAATCACAGTTGTCATCTTTAGACAGTGTTTTAGTCAGATTTTCACTGCTATGACTAAAACACCTGACAAGAACAATAAGAGGAAGAAGAGTTCATTTTTGATCTCAAGGTTTCAGTCCACAGATGGCTGATTTCATAGCTCTGGACCTGAGTTGGGGCAGTATACCATGGGGGCAGATTGTGGCAGAGGAAAGCAACTCAGGCTATGGCCATGAGTAAGCAGAGAGAGAGCTTGACTCACCTAAAACAAAATATATACTCCAAAGGCTTGCACCCAGTGACCCGCCTCACACCCTACCTGCCTATAGTTATCATCTAGTTAATACATATGAGGGGATTAATACCCTGACTGAGGTTCTCATGAATAACCTAGTCATTTCACCTCTAAGTTTTTTGCATTGTCTCATACATGACCTTTTGAGGGACACCTCATATTTGAGTCATAACAGAGAGCTTCTAGTATTTCTACTTTTTCTCAGTTCTAGGCTCTCAGAATGGTTTTGACCTTATTCAAGTGTATAATTATTAATCCACTTTTATTACTTAGTTTAAATATATCTTCTTTTATAGGTTGCTCTTTGAACATCCCAAACTATATCAGGAAATCCTGGTGTACTCTCTTACAGAATCTGGTTGCCTCTTCTCCCTCCCCCCATATAACTGATAATAGGTCACAATTATTTATTTGTATAATTGGATTATTTAATATAGATCTTTCCCTTTTGCCAAGAGCCAGGAATTAAGTTACAATATCTATTTAACACATTACTACATACCCAGATTCTGAGAATATGCCTAGGACAACATTGGGTCTCATTTTAAATTATTTTCATGGTTAAATAAAGAAATAACTATAAATCAAATTATAGAATTAATATTCTGTTTAATTTGATCTTACTTTTCATTAAGCAATTATATGATTATGATATGACCCTGCATTTTCTCACCCCCAAGGTATTTTTTCACTGCTTATCTTATAATTTGAGTTTCATGACTTTCCTAGTCAATATTTTCAGACATCATAACATCTTTTTGTATACATTTGTATACATGTATTCTTCAATGTGCCATAATGTTTACCAACTATTATTTGAAGATTGGAATCATGACATACTGACCTGTGATAAGTTTGTAAATATTTATACTTAATGTGACTAACAATGCATCCAACCCAGAAGACTCTTTTACTTAGATCATGACTAATAACTTCTTCACAAGGTAAATGGCTCCTTTCTTAATTATGAAGAATGTTTTAGCCCAGGTACAATAGGCCAAATAACCTTCTTCAACTCCTTCAACATAATTATTTTCTGCCACCAACTAGGCAAAGTGCCACATCTGTTGACTAGATGAGAAAGCCAGAATTAGACTGATTTCCAAAAGCCAGTAAAGTGGATCCCTCCTGGTACTCATTTTATGTGCCTAAAGAAAACCTTCTGCAGGGAAACAGGAAATCTGTGAATGCACCATAGGGATTCTCAGTTGAATAGGTTGCATTCTTTCTACCTGTTTATGAAGAAGCAGAGACTATGAGAAAGTGCTGCCATCATTTTCATCACATTCTGAGGCATGAAGAATAGCGGTGCCTCTGGATTTGATATTATACCAGCAGCATGTCTCTTTTGACAAGCTTGGGATATATTGATTCCACTAGTTAAAATATTTGACTGGAAAACTATTCTCCATCTGCACTTCAGTTCATTTAAGTATATGAAACTCAAATTTAAAATCCTTAGATTTTAAATCTGGTGATTTAAAATCTGGTGATTCAATTTATAATTTCATACTCATTCATTTCATCACTCCATCACTGTTTTATTTGTTTGGATATTATATTTTATAATCAATTATTTAACTTACATTATTTAATGAATAATATATGTTGCCCCTTAAAAGTTAGGGGCAACATAAGTGATTTTGTGCCCTGATGGGATTGATTATCATTACTACTATAATTTATTAATTAACTTGTTGGTAAGTCATCAGGCCTCTGGAGTCACTTTAGTTTATGACCATTCAAGAAAAACAAATGGAATATGAGAATTGGCCGGATTAAAGAAAGGAGAGAGTTCAAGAAGCTGTTAAGAAGCTATTTTAATAACAGAAGACAGAGAAAAAAATAAATTTAGATATTGACCTGTTTTCCAAAATGCAAGTTTGATCAGGTTTCTGACTTTATTTTTTCTTTTCTAGTAGTCTTTTCATTCTTCCTTACTGCCTTTAGGATAATGCCCTGACTTCTTTACTAAGCATACTTTCAAAATCTGGTCTTTTGAGGGTTTCTCTAATGAATATGGCTCTGCTCCAAGAAAACTTTATTTAGAAAAACAGGAAGTGGCCCAAATTTATTTTGCTGTTAATTGTTTGCCTACCCAGGTCTATCTTATTGGCCTTCACTATGCTTAGCACCTGGCTTCCCTTCTCAATTTTCTTTATTATTACCAATAACAAAAGAAATTACTATATTTATAGCAAACTTGTCAACATTTCTGGTAGGTAGCTAGAGGAAGACATAAAAATATTTAAAAGGACACTTCCTAACTTTTTATTGTAATGGAAAATTTCTGTATGCCTCAACCAATATCTACTTACATGATTATTGGCCACTTTTCCATGCACAGAACCTAGCTATAGTCATTTTGATAGATATATATTCACTGAATAAAATTAAGGTTTTGATACCAAGGAAGCAAGGGAGAATGGATATTGAGGGGACTTCCAGCAGTCTCTGCCACACCTACCAGATTCCAGTCACTTAGTGTTAGTTACCTTACTTGTCAAGATAATATTTGAACATATGTATGGAGCACAGCATGGTATCTTGGCATATATCTATATTTATTCTCTTTTTTTTTTTTTTTGGCTCCAGGAATTGAATTGGACCCAGGTGCCACCTCTCTCTCTCTCTCTCTCTCTCTCTCTCTCTCTCTATATATATATATATATATATATATATATATATATATATACTCACTAAGTTGCTTAGGGCCTTGCTAATTTGCTGGGGCTGTCTTTGAATTCACAATCCTCCTGGCTCAGCTTCCCAAGCCATTTGGATTACAGGCTTGTACCATCTCGCCTGGCCACATTTAATCCTTTATTAAAGAATATCACTAACTTCTGGAAAGGACAAGATAGCTGGAGATCCAGGCTCAGACAGGCAAAGGTATCCAATTATTTCTGTAATGAGTTCGTTACAACTTCTTTCACCCTGTCCTTGAATCACTCTGCACTCCACATTTAAAGCCCCAGGAGACTGTAATGTGCCAAATGTGACTGAATCATCTGTCCCTCTTTGGATAGGGGAGGGCAGAACAAGTCGTTTTATACCCAAACTGCGTGTAACTGAAGAGAAGCAAAATGTTAGGATGAAATCAGTGTGAAGAATGGAATCTGCAGAAAGAAACTGGGTGGATGACTCAAGAAATGTCCACCACATGTCCCCATTTGTTTCAGTTTGCTTTGCAATTTATCTTCCGTTAACACACTAAGATCACTCTTCTTCGTTCATTAAGTAACAAACTACCACCTTACAAAGCTGAGTACAGGAACCCTGAACAAATAAGACCAAAAATAACAGATTTAAATTTATTTTTACTCATTTATTTATTTATTCTTGTTAAAAACAAGGTAATAAAGATGTGACTTTGGGGTCCTGGGATTGATACTGTAGAACAATAAAGAGATGGTAAGCAAAGGCAAGGCCCTAAAACCAAATGAGCCTTGTCTGAATAAACAGTCTGACATTAGCTAATGTCACTGTATAAATAAGCCTTTCAGTGATGCAATTTCAGAAACTAAGCAATTTCTTCTAAATACTTCATTTTCTTTAAAGATTACAGTGCTAGTTGGGTTGATTGCTGAACAATTGATTATAGTCTCTGATAAAAAAAGTTGAAACCAGATGGGTTTTCACTTTGTCTTTACAGATTTGCCAGTGAATCTAAGTCCATGACAACCTAAGTATTTATTTTAAAACATGATTCACCCTAGAATCATCTACTATCATTAAGCAAGGCTTTCAAACATTTGGAATTGCTTTAATTTGGCAAATGTATTGCGATTTTTAAAACTAAAGTTATTGTCTTCATTTGATAGCTAGAAAAATGTTACAAGAATCCCAGAATTTACTTGCATGATGGCAAATGTACATGCTATAGCTGAACTCCATTCCAAATAATTGCTGGAAATCTAGTAAATTAGAAATTGTATACTTAGGAGGTGATAATGCTTATTTTGACTCCTTTACATTTTGTTTTAATTTCATTCATGTAAATGATTAGGAACTATGTATTAAAATGCCATTAAAGAATGAAAAAGCAATTAAAGGTTATTCAAAATAACTTTGAAATATATGATTTCAAAATTGACAATCCTTACTATTTTATAACTTGCTAACTTTTTTTCCTTGGGGCAATAATGCTAATCTTTTGATTTTTATATTTTTCTTTTCTCAGTGCTTTAACACATTATTGAAACTACAAACATCTACAGCAGTTTCATGTGGACAGATTGTGTGTTTTGAAAGCTTCATATATTTCATCATGAAACATGCCACTTGGGATCTTTGAAGCATAGAGTTCTGCCCAACACCTGAATAAAGAATCCCTTTCCTGGTATGAAAGAGAACTTATCTCCACCATGACAAATCAGGAAAAATGGGCCCACCTCAGCCCCTCAGAATTTTCCCAACTTCAGAAATATGCTGAGTGTAAGTATTCACATTGATAATATGACTTCTTGGCTCTTTTGTTAAAAAAGGTATCATTCATTTATAAGAAAAGATCATAGATACTGTATATCAGAAATATGTACAGGTGCAGATCTGTCTTGTGTTCACAGGTAGGCTGACTCATGACTACATTTTTGGCATGAGAGAAAGGAAAAGATAAATATCAAATCTAGAAGTAAAAAAAAAAAAAAAAAAAAAAAAAAAAAACAGGCTCTGAGACTCAAAACTAAGCTTGGGGAACACTCCACCTGTAGTAGAAGCAAAACAAAGACACACTGGCAGAATGGAAACTGGTGATACTAGAGTAGGAAAGTAGAGCACCAACAGGAACATAAAGACAGTAATGAGAAGGAAAAGGCAGTAAAGGGCTTGAGTCCCTAAGGCCTGACTCATCTTTTCTTTTTGTTAACCTATCACTTCAAAAGGACTGGAAGTAGGGAGTCATAGATACATTAGAGCATTACAATGAGAGACTGCAAAGACAGAGAACTTGTCAAGACCTTAAGCCAACCTGTCATTGTGTGTATTAGTAACAATTATAGGACATGATAATTCAATGCATAAAATGGTATTTTAACATAAGATTTTTTTTTAAATGTATGGGCAGTATGATTTTATTTATAAGAACTTTGTGTTTACTATAGATTTTCACAAATACATCATTCTTCCTAAAGCAAATTTAGGCCTTAAATATGAACAGCAGTTGGGTCAAGGTACTCAAGAGAGAAAAGAAGCAAATAATAAATAGGAAATAATAAAAGGCTGGGAGGATAAGTAGAAAAAAAAAGGCATAGATGTAATAACAATGTTGAGAATAGAGGGAATAACATTGTGATTGTCAGAATAAAGAAATGGAACAAAGAAAAGAACCAGTAGCACACAGCAGTAAAAGAGGCAAAAATCAAAGCATCTGGTGCTACTCATGCAGAGAGAGAGTGTGGCATATAGGAGATGAGCATTATGTATGAGTTGAATAATATGAAGGCAAAGAAGAGGAAAAGGTTAAATGCAGAAGAGGAATTTAGAACATAAAAAAGTAAATGTGATTAAAGTAGTGAATAGTATCTCGTTTACAGGGTACATATTATGCTCCTGGAATAATGCTAAGTACTCCATATGGTGCTTTGGATTTCACTCAGAGGTGGGAAAGAATAGGAAAGTCTTTGTGGAAAAAGTCAGATTTTTAAAGTAACTTAAAAATTTGGTTTAAGGTGAAAGACAAAGCAAATGGTAGGGAAAAAAGGAAAAGTTGACCATACTTTTGAGGAAGGGAGATAAGTCACATCACAAATTGAGGTTAAGTGGAGTTAAAGTCATAAAAATGAATCAAAATGCATAAGACTAAACTAGAATCAGGCAGTGAAGTATCATTGTAGGATTATAAATGGTAGAGTGACGGGAATACTAGTATGCTTCAAGAAGTTTAATTTTGCGACTGAGAAAATGTTTTGGGGTTTGGTTTGTCAATTTTTTGTTATTAAAACAAATAGCTGAGGTAATAAGTTTATAAGAAGAAGGGTTTATTTTGGCTCACATCTTGGGAGGTTTCAATGCACAGTGGGTTCCCCCATTACTTTTGGCCCTGTTCGAGGCAGCAAGTCATGGTGAGGAGTACATGGCAGAGCAAAGTCATTCATCTGATGGCTGAGAAGTTAAAAAGAAAAGATGAAGGGGCTAGGGTGGTTTCATTACCCATTCAAGGGCATGCTCCTCAGTGACCACAAAACCTCCCATTAATTCCCTCTTAAAATTTCTACCAACCAGCAGTAGTGCCCAGCTAATGACTAAGCTTTATACTCATGACCTTTGGGAAATACTTAGCATCCAAACTTGATTAATACTAATGGAAAGAGACTAGAGTTGGACCAGTTAGCCAGCTCTTGGTGTAGACTAATGTGGATTATGAAAGATGATAAGAAAATTAGTGATTCAGATATTGTAACATTGAAACTAGCAGAGAAGAGCTTGGGAAATGATCAAATATGAGAAATGAGGAGGAGAGAGAGAAAAAAAAAGTCTAATTTAGGTACAGATTTGACTTGGAGGATGGGGGATTATGGTGATAAGATCCTTTAAGTAAAGAAACATTGAGTTGGGTTTTAATTATGATAATACTTGACTGTATTTTTAAAGGATATTCTCTAGTGTTTGGGTACTCTTAAGAAAAATGCCTATGGAAGCATTAATATAAAATAGGCACATTATTGCTATGATAGCTAAAGTATCATCTGTAATTACTCTTTATCAGATACAGAAACTCTATTTGAATTGATAAGCAGAGGGACATTTCTTCTGAAGTATTAAATATAAGCAGCCAACTGTATTTTATTATTTAAGGAATATGGGGGTATAGTTTGGCTTACAATGTGGTTGTATCCCAATGAACCCATTGTTAGTTGAAAACATGGCAACTTAAAAACAAACTCAAACAAACATTATATTTTTGTAACACAGTATGCAGCAGAATATATGGCTTTTTTATCTTTGTGATCACATGGCTGATTGGAGCTATAGCTCATTGCCACTGCCAAGCATTGCCAGAGAGTATTATACCACCTATTGTTAGCCAGGGATAAGATCAAAATTCAGATTTTGAGGTAGGGCTTTTCCTGAGTTTGTGTCACTTTTTCACCATCAACATAAAGTAAAAAAAAAAAATGTTTAAGTCTAACCATTATATGCAGAGGATCATCTTTATATGGAAGAATGCTTGAATTAACCAATTTGTGGAATTGCTCAAACAGGGTGATAAACATTTTTATAAATGTAAAAATTGCAATGAACTGAGACTAAGTTTAGTAAGTATTCAGTGAACTGGTAATGAAAAGTGACACAGTGGGGGAAAGCACATTATTAGAATGGATTTCATGAGAAGGCATATTACATACACATTAACCGAGAATTTAAAAAAAAAATAGTTCCGGTTCCACCAACATTGCATTTACTTCCCTTTTTAAATAGTCAACATGACATGAGATGTGCTAGACTTTTTTTTCTCCCAAGAAGTTTTCCATATAATTCAAAAGCAAAGTGTATCAAACAATTAGAACGTCTGCTTGTGTAATAAATTGCCATAGCCAAAAAATAAATGGAAACATACTTATAATCTGAAGATCCTAAATTTAGTGGACATTCCATACTGTTTTCAGCATGCGATCAGCTATTAGGGGTATTTAAGGATCAGATTTTTCAGGTTGTAATGCAATATTGGCAAAATGAAATTCCTCTATATTCTATTAGAAAAGTAGTATATTAGATTTACTTTTATTTTGTTTTTTTTTCAATAAGAAATTTTTTATATGTTTAAATGACTAAATCTTTTTAAAAATTTATAGATTTAAAACTTTGTTTGAAACACACTAATATTACGCATGTTGTGTATTAAATAAGTGTTTTTATGGTTGGTTGGTTGGTTTTGGATGGAGGGAGGCTTTGGAACTGATGGGCAAAATAATTGAGATCGTAGAAAAGCCAAAAATTTAATGGTGAACCTAGAGGATACCATAAAGCTCATTTCCACAAGTTACTTATCTGATTTGGGGTTCTCACTGCCATCACTGCAATATATCCCATCCTTCTGGCTTCTAGGCTGTTCATAAAATTAACTGGATATAAAGAAAGGGCAAAGCTCGTCTAGCATTCCTGGATAGGCAGCTAGCACATCAGGCAGCTCATGTTAAAAAGCCTAGTCTCACTCTACCTTAGATAGTTTTTGACGAGTGTCTTAACATTTTCTGTACCAGTTTTAAGTATTAAATTGTATGAATTTTATATGTGAAGTAAGGTGGGAAGTGCCTGGCAAATTCTTAGTGATATAACTATTTAATGGAGGGTGAATGAATGTATTCTTTTGTTGTTGATCAAATAGAAAAAGGGCTGCATTTTGGAACATGAAGAATTGGTATCTTTTTTTTTTCCCCCTGCTACAAGCCTAAATTCTGTTCACAAGGTAGAAGCTTCTGGTGCTATTGGCAGCCTTAGTTCTATGTTGTCCCCACAAAGGCTGCAGGCAGCTAATGCAGAGCCTGCTGTGGCTGCCTGCAGCACGCTGTGACCATGCTCCTGTTTGGGATTTCAGGCTGAGTCACTCCATGGGAAGCATTTCCATTGATATGTGGGAGGGGAGTATAATTCTCATCTCTACTTTATATTATATAAAGTCATCCAAATTGCTGTTATGAGATAGAAAGCTCTCACTCCTGCAGGGTGGAGAATTGAGCTGATCTCATTATTGGTCTGTCAGTGCTTCCTGCTGTGGTTTTGTGGCACAGCAAAGGGTTAAGAAACTCAATCTTTCATAGATAACAATACCTTCCATGTAAAACCTACATGATATGTTCAAGTGAGTCATTATCTGCCCACATATTATCACTTTGGATTAGCTTTTTGTTTGCCATATATAAAGCATGCTATATGGCATATAAATTATTTTTGAAAAATACTGCTATTAGGGTGGGAATATTTCTAAACTTTTATAAATTGTATGTCATTTATAGCACCCAGGGCCTCATGCATACTAGGCATGCACTCTACAACTGAGCTACATTCCAAAACCTTCTTTAAATTTTATCTTGAGATGGTCTCATATGGTGAACTGTGGACCAATATGGCTAAATGTTTAGATGTCAAATTTCTTGCAATAGAGAAGGCATTCAGCATGACTTAGTGGAAAAAACACCATCTGTGCAGTCAAACTAATATTTAATGGTATTGGATTCCAGTCCTTCCTTCTACGTATTTACTGGAATAAGCTTGAATATGTTACATAAACTACCTAGGCCTCAGCTGTGTCCCCTAGGCAAAGTTGATTCCACCTCAAAATGTTCTTTAATATAAGATTTAATGAGATAGTCACGATTATCTTTGTAAAGATTCATAGTGCCCTACCATAAACAACCTACAAATATTACCTCACTCAACTTTCACAATAATCCTGGGAGGGAGGCAAGCATTCTCTCTGAGGATTGAATGTTTCTGGC